AAAAATTTTAAGCTGCCTTATTAATCCAAATCTGCACCTGAAGTGTATTAGAGAATACACATTTTAAAATTATCATATAATAAATAGATTATTATACATATTACAATACAAAAGATTATAATATTAGATTATATCATAATTATAAAAGTACAATTGATCTTTATAATCGATTAGGTGCAGATTTGATGAAGATGAATTTTGGTTATGATATAATGTAAATTATTTATATGATAGTTAATAACAGCCATTGCATATTTAATATTAAACAAATGTAATATAATATAAATAATTTATGTATTACTAAATTAAATTGTTTCATGCAATGCTTATATTATAATAATATAATTAAATTGATTTACCTGTATTGTCTGCACCTCTTGGTATAATAACATCAGCAAATTTTTTAGTAGGAAGACAGAATTCTTCAAATGCAGGTTTTACAAAATTCATGTATTGATTCAATACATAATCTAAGTCTCTTCCTCTTTCTTTTATGTCTCTTGGTACTGTAATAATTACAAACTGATAATATTCAATTTTTACAACAATATTCAAAAAAATACTTAAACATTTTTACCTCTTCTAGCTAATCTAGTATCTGAATCAGTATCCACAAATAATTTCATATGAAATAAATCTCGTATTTTAGGAAAATAAAACACTAAAATACCTTCAAATAAAACAACATCAGCAGGATAAATTGTTGTAATTTGATCTTTCATTCTAAAATATCCGCCAAAAAATAATTAATGTAACATTATAATATATAATGAATATAATTGATTTAAATGATACATACAAACTATTACTTCTATAATCATAGGCTGGTATTTCACATTTTACACCAGCTAATATATCTTGTAATGTTTGAAGTATCAAGTCATTATCAAATGCATCTGGATGATCAAAATTATATTGACCCTTTTCAGCTTTAAGTTTTTCAGCTGGTGATAAATCTCGATAAAAACTATCTTGTGAAATACAAACTACTTGTCGTTGCATATGATCCATATCTACTTGTCCTAGTTTTTCCATTATACGTTTACATACAGTTGACTAAAAAAAATATATACATAGTTGATTATATATAAAATGTTAGTTTTGCGATTGATACAATTTATGAATTTTAAATGCAGAGGTTAATTAACACAAAAAATATATTTTGTTTAAAATTAAATAAAATTAAGATATTTTAAAAAAAATATGAAATAATGTATTGCTTACTTTCCCACTGGCAGTACCACCTGAAACTCCAATTAAAAAAGGTGTTTTACTTTCTAAACCGTTTAACTTTCCATTAATACCAAAAGACATTTTTCGCGGAGTAACAATATTCATTGACATATCTGCCATTGTAATCTAAATTTTTTTTAGATTTTTTAAATTTGAATAAACAATTTACTTTAAAAATGACACTGTAAGAATAGTTTTGCGCATAACACGAATGATTATAGTGTAAGAATCAGTAGAAATATAACATATATATAATCTGAACCACATAAATTATTACATTAAATACGCGCGCGCAGCAATGAGCGATATTTGAACAGAATACATTTATTAAGAACATTATAAATTATAAAATTGAATTTTATACAAATTAGGTTATTTATACGTATTTATTGTATTTAATTTATACATTTTCATAAATTAATATTTGATTTTCATTGTTTATTAAATTAAATTAAAATGTCATTTGCCTGTATACAATTTTATCGAACTCATCACATCTCATCGGTTTAAATATTATGTTTGATTTAAAAAGAAGAAATATCTATAACTTTGATTATTATTTGATGAATTATTAATATCGGAAATAATCAGGATCGATAGATCTAAAGTTCATATGATCGATATCATTGCACATTCGTGCATCTGGTCATCAATTTAGTTACTACATTGATTGCTTATTTTCATGAAAATGAATTTTGTTTATAAATTTTATCTCGGAAGCTATTTATTGAATTTTGAATTTATTTCTTTATTGTAGAGAATATTTAAAGAATTTGATTTATTTTAATATAATATTTTTTTATATAAATATATTAATTTAATTTTTTTTATATAATTATATAAAATTTATAATATTCCTGCATTATGCATTCAACTATGATTTTTGTAAATTTTAATTACATTTGATAACTCGTTTCGTTGAACGGATTGTGATATTTATAAATTTAATATTTATTGAATTTTTATATTATAAAATTTATGAATTTATGAGCATTTTATCATTTTTATTATTTTGATTGATTTAGATTAGTAATGTATTAGTATTAGTAGTAAATTACTCCACTAGTATTATTTAAAATTAAAAGTAATAATAAATGTAATTGCGAAATTGTAAAAATTATTACATAATAATTTCATAATTAAATCATCATTGAATTTTTATAATCATAATTAATATAATTATTAATATAATAAAATATAAGGTTATATTTTTATTGATTATATTTATATATTTTATATATGTTATATGTTATCGATTATATATGATAAATTACAAGGAATAAAGGTCAAATAATCTAATTTGAGCTAAATGTGTTGAACTGTTTTGATATTTACTTTATATTATTGTTTTGATATTATTTTGTAAATGATTACATAATATTAATTTTATCTTTATTTTGTCCAATAAAATAATGCGAAATACATTTATCAAACGTTATGTTTGCAGTATATCAAGTTATGAGGTAATTTAGTATATTTAATATAATTATTTAAAATTACAATGAATTTATTTTTGTAATATACATAAATATGGAACAAAAATTTAACAATTTTAATAATAATCCTTATGATGATAATTCATATGAGGTATAATATATTATTGTTTTATTGATTTACATTAAATCAATTAAATGATAAAATAAAATATGCATTGGAATTATTTATTTAATTTATTTCTTTTTTTTTAAATAATTTATTTGTTTATAGGCAGCTATAAAAAAATTATGTGGTTTACAAAGTAATAGTTCATATTTAAAATTAGCAACAAAAAATAATTCACAAACAAGTGATACTTATAAATTACTTGATACAATAAAATATTTAGTTCGGTAATAATTTTTTTTACATTAAATAAATAATATATTTTAAGAATATTTTAAACATTAAAACAATTTAGTAATTTTACAGGTCTGGTATTACACTTGAAAAGTTAGACACTTTATCAGTAATACATGTAGCAGGTACAAAAGGGAAAGGTTCTACTTGTGCATACACAGAAGCTATTTTACGTGAACATGGTTTTAAAACAGGATTCTTTAGTTCTCCACATTTAATTAGTGTAAGAGAACGTATAAGATTAAATGGACAACCAATAAGTGAAATGCATTTTACTCAAAACTTTTGGAAAATATATAAAAAATTAGAAGATACAAGAGAATATGAATCTGATATGCCTGCATATTTTAATTTTTTAACAGTTCTTATGTTTAATATATTTTTAGATGAACATGTTGATGTTGCTATAATTGAAGTAGGTATTGGAGGTTTATATGATTGTACAAATATTGTAAGAAATCCTGTCTGTGTAGGTATAACTAGTTTAGGATTAGATCATACATCTCTTTTAGGTAATTCTCTTGAAGACATAGCTTATCAAAAATCAGGAATTTTTAAATCAGGAACTATTGCATTTTCTGTTCCACAATTACCTCAAGCAATGTATATATTAGAAAAAAGAGCAATTGAAAAAAACTGTAAGTTACATATTGTACCAACCTTTGATGAATATAAATGGGAAAATATTTCACCTACTTTGCAAATAATAAATAAAGTTCAACAACAAAATGCATCTCTAGCTATTCAGATGGCTATTGAATGGATACAATCTAAAACTAATAAAATTTCAAATGTTTTACATAATTCTATAAATAATAATATTTGTTGTAAATATAAAGAAAGTTCTCAAATAATTGTATCTATGGATAAGATAGCAATAGGTTTATCTTTTTGCAAATGGCCAGGTCGTATGCAAATTTTAAAAAGTAGTATTGGTGATTTTTTTTTAGATGGTGCTCATACAATCGAAAGTATTAAATGTTGTATTTCTTGGTTCAATGATATAACTAATAAAAACAGAGGAAAAAGATTTCTTATTTTTAACACATCTGGTAATCGAGATCCAATTAGATTATTAATATTATTAAAATCTTTATATTTTCATAAAGTATATTTTGTACCAAATTTTGCTGGAATTAAAAGTTTAGATGATGAAGTAAATTGTTCTTTAATAGATGAACAAAAAATAAAATGTGAAATGAATTCTAAAATATGGGGAACAAATTCAGTGATTGTAAATAGTGTTTTTGAAGTTTTACAAGATATAAAAAATAATTCAGAACAAAATCAGATATTTGAAGAAAACCAAATATTAGTGACAGGATCCTTACATTTAATAGGTACAGTTCTTACTATTTTAGATCCAAATTTGACAATGAATACACAATTTTAATATTTTTAAAATTGAAATTATATATATATATATATATATATATATGTAATTGTAATATATAATATAAATTGTAATATATATATAATTGTAATATATGTATAAAATATATAAAAAGAACATTTTTTTATAAACGATAGAATTATATATTTAACAATTATATTAACAATTGTATCAATTCATGACAATACATTGATGATTAATATATAATAATACAGTAAGATATTGCATTGTTGTAATGATCATAATCGGAAAGTACTTATTGATATTTTTTCGTAACAATTCCCTTTTGTACTTTAATATAAATATATTGTTCATAAAACTAAGTAATTGTAAAGTTTTAATAATTTGTACATATGACAAGTATGTATATGTTTATGAATTGTACGATACAGGAAAAATAGATGATATTAAAATAAAAACTAGAAAAAATGCTTAGAACATTTTGGTATGATAATCTAATTCTGATTCTGCTTCTGTGTCAGATAAACTTAAAGAAACGCCAGTTCTTCGTCGTAAACGATTTTCGTCAGGACTCTGAAATGTATAAAAATAATTTTTAAATAGAATGAAGTTTTGTATTTAAAGAATATCTATTCAATTTATATTAATACTTAATTCTTGATATTTATATTATTGTCAAAAAGAATAGAAATTGATACCTGATCTAGAATACCGGCAGTGGGTTCAGAGGCATAACCTACTTCTTGTGCATCTTCTTCCAAATCTGCCTCGTATTCTTCTAATTCATCTGTGTCAGAATCAATTTCCAAATCTACATATATACTTCCTCTAGAGACTTTACACACCATTTGAGCTAAATCTGTAAAAGTATACGAAGATATTGATTGCTGATTTGCTGCTTGATGTTTTGCTCGTAATGCGCGGGCATTTTCTCTATCGGCATTAAAACGTGGTAAAACTCCAGCTTTTAATTGTCCTTCGAAATAAGTTTTTCCTATAAAAATGTTAGATTATATATAATAATGAAATTTAATATTAATTTTCTTCTTGAATAAATCACATATTCTAATATCTATTAATCGAATTAAAAATAAAAAAAAATATTTTATATAATTTCTTTATATATATCATATATAATATTATATATAATTATATATAATATTTATAAACTTTTGTCTATTAAATATAAATATAACATTTACCATGTTGATATCCAACATCTTTAATTTCATCAAAGTTAGCGAATTGGAGAGTTTTATATTTATCTATTGGTGGCCTAATGTATTCACAGTAATCTGAACTTTTAACTTCTTCTAATTGCCGTACACAACTAACATATGCCAATCGTGATTGTATGTCAGGCAAATTTGGAACTTTGACAGGCGTTGCAAATGGATTCCATCGTTTCCATAATAACCACCAACCAGATAAAGAATCTCCATAATTCGTTAAATCCGTGTCATCTTGTGACCCAACATCAATAGCCAAAATATGATGCGCTCCTTGCCTCAACATTTCGTCAGCTTAAACAAAGAAATTATAAAACCATATATTGAAAATTGATTATGATAGACAAATTATTATTTCTATGACATAATAAACAATACAGGTTTAAGATACCTGGCACGTTATTAACATAACACCCATCGACCAAAAGATGCCCGTCAAGAGGGTCGCAAATAGGAGGAAAGACCCCCGCAATGGTCATACTGGCTCGAATGTATCTCCATAGCAAACCTGAGTTGACTTAGCTATTCAGGATTTGACAAATGCATCTTTTATCAACGGGAGTGAGCTTATATAATTTTCAAGTTTATATTATAATCTTAAGTTAAATTTATAAATCGTTTTGAACTTATATCAATGAAAGCAACTAATATAATTTCATTTTTTCATTGATATAAAGTTGTTTTTAATGTCCAGGTAATTTTATAAAACTAAAGAAAAAAATTATAAATATTTTCATCAAGAACATGTGTTTTCAACTCAAAGTATTTTTCAATAAGTATGCTAATAATAAATTTTATAGAAATAGAAGGCGCAAGATTTTGTTCTATATGATAACAAAGTTAGATGCATTTTTTAATGTGACGCTCAAATTACCTGGAAGGTTATTGACGTACCCGCCGTCGAGCAGGAGATGGCCGTCA